GTCCAAGGATGTCTCACCAGCATCCCAGTTCCAGGTGTCTCCTGCTGAGCCCCTCACCTGTCCCTGGCCTGTCCTTAGGTGTACAAGCAGAAGGTGAAGCACCTTTTGCACGAGCAGCAGGAGAACCTGACGGAGCTGAAGGCAGAGGGAGTCCTGTCCCTGAGGAGGGCCCAGAAGGATCACTGGGAGCAGGAGGAGGAGATGTGGAAGGAGAAGTGCTCCTTGAACACAAGGCTGAAGGAGCAGGAGTTGGCCAATGAGGCAGCCATCTCAAAACTCTGCCTGGTACGTCCTGTGAGGTGCCTCATCCCCAGTGTGGGAGCAGGAGTGGGATCTTGCCTCCCTGGCTCTCTGTGGGGTGGGATGGGGTTTCTGGTGCAGGAATGGGGAGAAGGGGTTCCTGGGTGACCCCTCTCCCACAGTGGGGAGCTGTGAGAGCAGCTGGAGAAATGACAAACCACTGTTTGCATCAACATGGGATCAGAATCCTTTCCCAAAGAGCAGGAGGGAATCCCTGGGGTTGGGCTGGCTTGGGATTTGGTTGTTTCTTCCAACATGGAGTTGCTTCCTCACAGAAACACGAGGAGGAGATGGCCCAGCTGCGCAGTGACTTCGAGCTGCAGACCAAAGGTGAGGGCACGAGGCAGATCCCAGAGGAGCATGACAGGGAGAGCTGCTTCTGCTTCCCAAGCAGCACCTTGAGCACATGGGGGCAGGTTCTCCCCAGTTCTGGCCATTTTCCCCTTCCCTCATCTGGCCATTTTTCCTTCCAGTTCTGGTCAGCTTCCACCTCAGTTCTGGCTGATCTCCCCCACCCAAGGTTCTGGCCAGTTTTCCCCATAAGTTCCAGCTGCTTTTCCTCCCCAGATCAGTCTAGTTTGCCCTCCAGTTCTGGCTGTTTTTCCCTCTAAGTTCCAGCTGCTTTTCCTCCCCAGATCAGTCTAGTTTGCCCTCCAGTTCTGGCTGTTTTTCCCTCTCAGTTCCAGCTGGTGCCAACCCACACAGTTTTGGCTGTTTTTTCTCCCTTCCCCTTTCTGGTCACTTTTCCTCCCCAGTTTCAGCCAGTTTTTCCCCAGCTCTGACAATTTTCCCCCAGAGATGGAGGCCAAGTACACGAGGAAGATGCAGGCACTGAGGGATGAGCTGGACCTGCGGAGGAAGACAGAGATCCATGAGCTGGAGGAGAGGAAGAACACCCAGATCAGCGAGCTGATAGGGAACCACGAGGGGGCTTTTGGTGCCATTAAGAACTACTACAACGACATCACCGCCAAAAACCTGACACTCATCAACCTCCTGAAGGTATTGCCCGTCCCTGTGCCACCCCTGCACCCAGGGACTGCTCCTGCCAGGGTGTCAGCTGGATCTGGCTGTTCCAGGTGTCACTGTGGGTGCTGCTGGTGGCCTGTACATGAGTGGGGAGGGTGTCCTGAGGGTCTGGGGCACTCTGAAGGGCTGGGCAGTCCCAGGAGCCAGCACTTATGTTCCCAAGAACAGGAGCAGGTGGAAGAACTGAAGAAGAAGGAGGCTGTGCTGGAAAAGGAGAAGGCAGATGTGGTGCGTGAGAATAAGGGGCTGACAGAGCCGCTGCACGAGGCCCAGGAGCTGGTGGCTGAGCTGCAGAAGAAGTTGGTTAACTATTACAGGGACAAGGAGGCCCTGATGGTGAGTGCCCAGCCCTGTCCTTCCATGGGCTCGTTCCTGGAGGGAAAACACTGCGCTCTGCCACTTGGTGTGCTGTGATTGCTAGGCAAAGCAAGTCTTGTTCTGCTTACTGTGAATTTGTGGGGTGTCAGATGGGAATCCAAAGAGAGACTGGGAGGGAGAGCAGCCCGACTGCAGGGGGGTTGATGTGGGTGCTGCCTGGTTTTCTCTCTGCTGCTCTTTCTCCTCCCTTCCCAGAACACATCTCTAACACTTCCCAGACAATCCTGTGCTCTTTAACCCTCCTTTCCCATTCACAGAAGTCCAAAGCCCATCTGAAAATCGCTCAGAAGGAACTGAAGGACCTTCAGTGGGAACACGAGGTGCTGGAGCAGCGGTTCAGTCAGGTGAGACCTACAGGCAGGGCTGGGCATCCCATTCCCTCTCCAAACCTCCTGCAAACCCTCTGCAGAGGACAGGGCGTGGGGCTCAGCAGAGGCTGTGCTTAGCCCAGGGCTTTGCAAAGCTAATCCCGAGTCGGGTGATAACCGCTGCTCCCAGCAAAGCTGCTCCCAGCTCCAGCCTCTCCCACGGTCAGCAGACAGGCCTGGCCTTGTCCTTTGCTGAGCAGTCATGCACGCTCCAGCAGGGCCCCAGGCTGCCTGGGCTGCGTGGGGCAGAGCTGGATGGGGGCATTGCCACGGGCCCCTCCTTCTGCCAGGGCTCCGGGATCGCTCCCTCCCATTCTGGGGTGCTCAGGAACAGCCCTGCAGAGCCAGTGCTCCCCCCCACTAACCCAGATAAATCTTAAGAGTCAGGAGAGAGCTCATTTGCAATTCGTAGAAATCCCCAGGAATATGAACATTGATCCGAGGCCTCATTAACAATCCATCATTAAGACAGCGCCAGATTCAGAGCGTTCAGAAATAGGCTTTGGAGGAGAGACTGTGTCCTAATTAGGACACTTATTAACTAGCTGTGAGCCAGGGACTGCTGCCAGCTGTGGGGATGAGATGAGAGACCCCCGTGTGCCGGGGGCCCTCGCTGGGGTCTGAATTAGCACTGCAGGGAGCCCGTTGGGGCATTCCATGCCTGGAGGGGAGGAGGAGGAGGAGGGAGAAGCGCAGGTGCTGCACCATGGACAGAGGGAGAGAGGGAGGGAAGAGGGGAGGGGGGGAGGCTGTGCTGCAGCACCTGCCTTCCCTGTGGGCTGAAGGTGCCATGGGGAACGGCTGGGCTGAGCTGCTGGATCAGTCTTCTGCCGTATTTGTGCTCCACACCACTGTGCATGCCCCCGTGTCCCCCGGGGTCCTGAGGGTGCTGTGACACTGTGCTGCCCCCGGGGTCCTGAGGGTGCTGTGACACTGTGCTGCCCCTGGGGTCCTGAGGGTGCTGTGACACTGTGCTGCCCCCCGGAGCAGGTCCAGGAAGAGCGGGATGACCTCTATCAGAACTTCACCAGAGCCATTAACGAGGTCCAGCAAAAAACGGGCTACAAGAACCTGCTCCTGGAGCGGAAGCTGCACGGACTCCTCACCCTCCTGGAGCAGAAGGAGGTGGAGCTCAGCGAGGTCCTTGCAGCCTCCAACCTCGACCCCAGCGCTCTCTCCATGGTCTCACACAAGCTGGAGGTACTGGGGCCCGGCGAGGGCTGGATCTGGGGGGCAGAGCCCACTGTGGGGTGCCTGCTGTCCCTGGAAAGCAGCAGTGCCCATCCTGCATGGCTGTAGGTGGCACGTCACTTGTCACTCCTTGCCAGCACTCCCAGGGCCACGTGTGGTGCCGCAGGGCACTCGGCTCTGCCTCGAGAGCGGAGCGTGTGGGTGTTGGAGTTTGGCACTGATCTGTCCCTCAGCTGGGGCCTGTCTGGAGGAGCATGGCTGCAGGCTCCATGGCACTGTTGGCACCCTGTGCTGCCACACAGCCAGCTGACTGCCAGCGGGTCCAGTGGCACCCAGGGGCTCTGTGCAGGGGGGGCTGCACCTGGTGAGCCTCGCCTGGCCATGGGGACGGTGCAGACAGGATCCTGGGGCTCTGCGGTGTCTGCCGTGCTAAAAATACCTCTGCAGAGAGCCTGGAGACCCACATTCCTGCAGCCTGCCGCAGCTGGAGCCGGGAGCAGCGCTTGTGCGGGTTGGGCACAGACACAGGGAACGAGGGCTCCACCACCTGGTGCCCTCCTGCTTGTCCCCAGCCAGGTCCCCGCTGCAGGGGGAGTCGGGGAGGCTCTGGGATGCTTTGGGATGCATACCAGGCCTATGGCACAGGCAGCGGATGTGTCACCTCCCAGCATGTGGAAGGAAAACACATTCCTGGGATGGCATCACTGGCGTCGGGCTCTCCTGCAGCTGCTGGGGTCCCTGAATTCCTCCTGTCAGCTGCCTGGGGCAGCCTGGCTCCCTGTAATTCCCCGGTGCCGCGGCAGCAGGGTGGTGCTGCTGGAGCAGAGCAGGTGCTGCCAGTGCTCCCAGTGACAGGGATGGCTGTGGTGTTCATTGGGAGCTGCTGTCCCTGCCCGGGGCTGGCTGTCCCTGGCAGTGCCACTCAGAGGGGGCAGGGTGGTGGCCAGCTGCCCAGGCCGTGCTGCCTCGTGTGCTCTGCCACGCCACGGCCACCGGGGCACGGCCAGCACGTCCCCAGGGCTGGGCAGAGCAGCCTCATCCCAACCTCCCCTTGCAGGACGTGCTCAATTCCAAGAATGCCACCATCCAGGACCTGCAGATCCAGCTGGCCAGAGTCTGCAAGGTAAGGGCGGGGAGGAGTCCTGGAGAAGTGTAAGAGCCGTGTGGATGGGGCACTTGGGGACGTGGGTTAGTGCTGGCCTGGGCACTGCTGGGGGAGTTGGACTCGGTGATCTTAGAGGCATTTCCAACCCAAACGATTCTGTGATTCCATGGCTTTGGCTTGGGGGTTGGAAATCAGACTGGGGCTGCAGGAAGCTCTCCTCTGCTGACAGAGGGGCTGACAGGGACCCTTTCCTTGCAGGCACACAACGACATGCTGCAGACTTTCGAGGCAAAGCTGACAGCCTTTGGCATCCCCCTGGACAACCTGGGTTTCCAGCCACTGTCCTTCCCCATCCCGGGGCAGGAACTGGGGAAGGGCCCTGCTGGACTTGTTTCAGTGCCCACCTGATGCTGGCAGCACTGAGGGTCCCACTGGCACACTGGTAGTGGGGCTGTGCCCTTTTCCTGCTGCGTGTCTTTAAACAGACCCCAGTGAGCATCTTCAGGAACCTCTCCTCCCAAGGGGGACCACAGCTGGAGGACTGCAGGCATCCCACCCACCCCACCATGCTGCCCCTGGGGCTGCTTCTGTTCCCACAAAAGTGGAAGGTGATTTTTTGAGACAAACGGTGCTGTTTGGAGTTTTTAATGGCCTTGGTGGCATCATTCCTGCGTCCCCAGGGGAAGGCTGTGCCCCTCTAGCTGCCCCGGTAGGTTGTGTAGGAGTAGGGGCTGATCAGCAGCGGGACGTGGAGCTTCTGTGCTGGGTCGGTGATGATGAAAACGACCTGAGGGAGAGTGAGGAGACAGCAGTGGGAATCCCCCTCCCAGAGTGAGGCCCAGGGGAGTGCAGCCCCTTGAGCCTGGCCCCAGCCCTCAGACAAGCTGTGTCACCTGTCCCAGTCTCCCCACTCTCCGTACCTCCACAAAGGGGTAGAAGCTGGTGTGCCCCAGTCCCTGCCAGTACTCAGCTGTCTCAAAGTGCAGCTTGTAGGTGCCAGCCTTGGCCTGTCCTGGTGCCAGGAGGGGCTGGCAGCGCCCATCCGCATCCGTGTGCCTGAAACCAGACCAAGGCAGTCCTGCTGTACCCCAAAACACAGCCCTGCCCCACCCCAGAACCCTCTCCTGGCCATATTCCCAAGCACCAGCCCTGCCACCAGCAAACAAACCCCAGCTGAAGGCTGGGCAGACACTTGTGACAGGAGCCTTTGGCCAAGCTCACAGAGCCCTGGCAGCAGTGTCCCTGCCCCACAGGTGCCACCAGCTCTCGTACCTGTGTGCCAGCTCCATCCACTGCAGCCCTGGCTCCTGCAGCTGGGCCAGGCGGATGCCAAGGCCGGCTGCCGGCAGCCCCGTGGCCGTGTTCAGCACGTGGGTGGTCAGGGTGCCCTTTCCCACCTCAGACATGCCATCAGCCTGGGGCAGAGAGGAGAGCAGGGCTGGGACCTGTCCTGGCAGCACCATCTGCCTTCTTGTGCTGCAGCCAAGCCCCTGCACTTCACTCTTCCCCAGAGCTGGGATATGGAAACCCACGTCCTTCCCATGCCAGGGTGCTCAGCCTCAGGCACCGTGTGGGTGCCAGCTGGTTCCCACCAGGATGCAGGGCTCTGTGCTCACCTGCCTGTCCTGGTGGGCCTCAGCACAGCACAGCAGCCAGTCTGGACCCGGCGAGGAAGCAGCCCTGTCCCAGCAGCCCCATCCCTGCCCACGGTGTCACGTGTGGGCGGACATTGACCCTGCCCAGCTCTCTGGAGCTGCCCGGTGCCAAGGTCAGCACTGCTGAGGGCAGCCAGGCCCCTCCTTCTCCTGGAGCTCCCAGGCTGGGGTGGGAGCACGGTCTGGGGCTGCGTCCCAGCAGCCGGCAGGACCGGGCAGCCTCCCTGGAGCCGGACCAGCTCCCACTGCCAGCCCAGCGCCGGCTGACGTGGGGGTGCTGCAGAGGCACCCTGGCGAGCTTACCTGGCTCTCCTGTGTCCCACTGATGGGCCAGGGACCTGCGGCCGGTGCCCCCACACAAAACGCCATCCCTGGCCTCCCTTCCTGGCGCCACGGCCTCTACCCGTGGAGCTGGCGTGGCTGGATGCCGCTATCCTGGCACGGGGCTCCCGCAGAACCGGGTGCTCCTCCCCGGCTGGGCTGAGCCGGCACGGGCGGCTTCCCAGGAGCCCCGCTGGCACCCACGCTCCGGCAGCGCCGTGGCCCTGGGGCGAGCGGCCCAGAGCCTGGTGGGAGGCTGGGGCACTGGGCCGGGAGGAGCCACAGCCCGGCTGCCGTCCCAGTCTCGCCTCCCACCATGGAAAGCACCTGGAGCGCATCGCTGCTGCCGCAGCCGGGCACGTGGGGCTGTCGGGAGCCAGCACCGGCCTCACCGCAGCCTGGCCCTGCCCTCTGCACCGGCCTCAGCACAGCCTGGCCCTGCCCTCTGCACCGCCGGGGCACCGGGGGTGGCTCAGCCTCTCACCTGCACCCTGATGCGGGCGGTGGCGGTGGCTCGCAGCCCGTGTCCCCCCAGGTCAGCAGCCTGGATCTCCAGGGTGTATTCAGGGACCACCTGTGGCAAGAGGCTGTGTCACCCACAAGTGTGGGGTGAGCTCGGTGGGGGCCGAGTCCGGGGCTCACCTCTGCCACCAGCCCCGGCACGGCCAGGGAGACCAGCCCAGAGCTGCTGTTGATAGTGAACATCCCAGGCTGGGGCTTCTCCGGCACCTGGCTCAGGATGGAATAGCTCACAACGCCATTGCTGGAGTTCACGGCGTCGTCTGCGTCGGTGGCCAGCACCCTCAGCACCGGTGTGCCTGGAGCAGGTGGTTATTGCTGACCTGTCACACATCCCTCCAGTGCTGCCTGCCAGGGGGTGGCCGTGGTCCCACCTGGCTCAGCTCCCTCCAGCACAGAACCGTGGAAAACTTCCTGGGTGAAGACGGGCCGGTTGTCGTTCTGGTCAGTGACGGTGATGATGATCTCCATGGGGTCTTCCACGGGCTGCCCGTTGGCCGACACGGCGTGGGAGTAGAGCTGCAAGGGCACAGTCAGTGTGTGTGCAGTGCCCAGGACCGTCCCTGTCCCGCCACAGATGCCCCCTCACTCACCACGTATTTGTTCTTCTCCTCCCGGTCCAGGGGTTTGGTCACCTTCAGCCACCCCGTCTCCCTCTCGATGATGAACACACCCACGGGGATGGTGTCCGCTCCCTGCCCCGTGATGCTGTAGAAAACCTTGGTCTCCTTGTCCTTGTTGGATTTGATCTGGCAGCGAGGCAGGAAGAGGAGGGTGAGCCGTGTCCCAGTGCCCCAGGGATCCCTCTGGGCCCTGCCCAGTCCCCACGGGCACACCCACCTGCACCAGCGGCTTGGGGAAGGGCCCCCGCTCGTTCTCAGGGCAGTTGATGGGGGGGATGACCCAGTCCCTCTTCTGCCGCCGGAGGCCGTGTCCGTGCTCCGGGAATATCAGCACGTCCTGTGGGACGGACAGAGGCGCTGCAGGGCTCAGTGACACGGCTCTGCCCCGAACCCGCCGGGCCATGGCCATGCAGCCCCCCCGGCCCCACTGCGAGGGTCCCAGCAGGAGGAGGAGGAGGAGGAGGAGGAGGAGGGTGAAGCTGCAGGCTGCCATGGCTGCAGCTGCACTGGCTGCTCCCCCCAGGTGCTGCTGGGAGCCCTCCCGGTTGCGTCAGTGACCTTGGCCGGGAGAGCTGAACCGGCTCTGCAGAGCTGCCAGCCCCGGGGGGGGCTGGGGGCGCCCTGTGGGGGGACCCGGCACACGAGATGCTGCTCCAGCCGGGGGCACGATGGAGTCCGGGAGCCCCCGGGGCTGTCCCTAGGTGGGAACCCCCAGTGCAGTGGGGCTGGGGGCACACACGGGTCCCCCCCCGGGAGTTCCAGCGCACCCATGGGCGGCAAACGGGGAGGAGGCACCGGGGGGTGGCACGGGGGAACGGGGAGGGGGCAGTTCCTGCTGGGGCGGTGGTGGGAGGTGCCATGGGAACACCGGGAGGGACGGATGGCGGCACCACGAGGGTGCTGGAGATACCGGGATGCCCGGGCGTGTCCACCGGGCTGCGCTGAGGGGCACCGGGGGGGGCACTGAGAGAGCGGCGGTGCCCGGCGGGGAGCGGGCGGTGCCCGAGCATTGCCGGGCCCTGCCGGGGAGTGTCAGGGGGTTCCGAGGCGATGCCGATGGGTACAGAGCGGGGAGGTGCCCGGAGGGTAACGGGGTGACCAGGGAGGTATCGCGGATTGCCGAGAGTTGCCAGGGCGTTCCAAGAGGCTGCAGGCGGTGCCCCAGGGTTCCCGGGAGGTATCGCGGATTGGCAGGAGGATTTCAGAGGGGGCCGGGGGTGCCCGGAGGGTATGGAAGGTTCCAGTACCGGCCGGTGCCCGAGGGGTACCGGGCTGTGCCTGGATCTTGGCGGGCGGGTGCCCGGGAGGTAACATGGGGTGCTGGGATTGCCGTGGGGCTCCAGGGGAATACCGGGGGTGCCCGGTGTGTTGTATCGGAGCTGCCGGAGGTTTCCAGAGGAGCACCGCGGTGTAACGGGGATTGCCGGGGGTGTTGTGGGGGGTGAATCGCCGGTAGGAGGGTCCCGGGGGTTATGGAGGGGTCCAGGGCATTGCCGGGGGATGCCTGGGGCGTGCTGGGGCCGCTCTCCGGGGCGGGGCGGTACCTGCGCGGCCGCCGCCTCACCTGGGGCGTTGCGGGGCGGGACGGGGCGGGACGCGGCGGGCGGCGACCGGAGCGGCGGCGGCGGCGGCGGCAGCAACGGACGGGCCATGCAGGGGCCGCGCTCCGGGCTCTGCCCGCTCTCCATCTTCATCCTCCTCCTCCTCTCCCCGCTCCTGCCGGCGGCCGCCCTGTCCCCGGCCCCGCCGCGCGTCCTCCCGGGGCTGCGCCGCGGGCCGCTCCCCGCCCCAGGTAACTCGCACCGTCGGGGCGCGGCGGCACCGGGACCCCCGGAACACCTCGGGGACGGGCTGGGGCCGCCATCGGGACGGGGATCGGGGCTCCGAGCACTGCGGGGGCGGCAGGGCCTCCCTCACTGCCGGGATCAGGATCGCTTTGCCTCCGGTGGTGGGGCCGCTGCTTTTCGGGAGGACCTCGCGGTGCTGTGGGGCTGGCGGGGTCCCCGGGTGAGGGGCTCGGCCATGGGGCTGTGCTTCCCCCTGCTGTGGGGCTCGGCCATGGGGCTGCCTGTGCCCCGCGGGGCTGGCGGTGCCCGGCTGATGCCAGCGCCTTTGGCCCAGCCGTGGGGCGCCCGCTGCGAGCAGGGCTGGGTCCCCGCAGGGTGGGCGGCCGGCGCCGGGCTGGCAATGGGCTGGGAGCCCCCGGGGCCCCCTTCTCCGGCCGTGGGGTGAGGGCTGTGGCCGGCCCGAGGCTGGGCAGGGTCTTGCTGCTGCCAGCTCCTGGCCCGCTGCCGGCGCTCGGCCCGGGCCCGGTGCCCTCCTCGCTCGGCGGCTCCCGGGGGATTGGGGCTGCCCGGGAACGCGGCCGGAGCCAGCGCTCGTCTAATGGCCGCGGGAGCACTAAAAGCTCTCCTTGGCGGTAAGTGCCAGGGAGCGGCCCCGACCTCTGTCTGCTGTGGACACCACATCCCGTTTCACATCCCTTTCCCATCAGCTACGCCTGCCACGACTGGAGGTGGGCGCTGCCAGGCCCCTGCTGTGGGCACAGGCGGGGGTCTGCCCACGCCGCTGCGACCCCCTCGGTGGGCAGCTCAGGGCCCCGGCAGTGACCGTGCGGCTCCGCCTCGGCACCCAGCGGGCTCGGTGCCCTGTGGGCCCTCCCTCCACGGAGGGACCCCCGAGGACAGGGTGGGGTACCCCCTGTGCCGCCCGCCCTTCGGAGGGAACAGCAACGCGCGCCACAGCTGGGAGCGGGGCTGGGGGCTCCCCATGCCGGGAGTTGGGGGCTTCCCCGAGCTCCTCGTGTCCCGCTTGCCGGGTGACTGATGCCCCTCCGGCCCCATTAAAGTCCCTTATCGCGGCCATCGCGACTGGGAGGGGCCCCGGTGCTGCCCTCGGGGCACGGTTGCTGCTCCCCACATGGCCCCACACCGCCGCCCTCGGGCTCGGTCCCTCCGGTGTGGAGCAGCCTCCGGTGGGGCTCCGCTCTCCCTGCCCCATTCCACGCCTTCCGCAGCCCCCCCGGCCCCCCCCGGGGCCGCTCGGCCGCCCGGAGCTGGCTCAGCTCCGCTAATCCCCTAATCCTTGCCCCGGGGGATGCGGAGCCGGGGCCGTGTCCAGCACGAGGGATGCAGCGTGGGAGGCGGGGGAGGGAGATTCAGTGCCCGATGATCCGGCCACGGGGGGTTGGGAGCCCCGAGGGGGTGACACACCGGGAGGGGGCTGGGGCAGGGCTCTGCCCGCCCAGGAATTTCCCATCATCTGTGAAACAAAGCCGAAACTTCCACCGAAACTTCCACTGCGCTCCCGTACGGCGCTCGGTGTTCCCTGCCCCGCTCCCGGTGTCCTCGCCCTCTCTTCTACCGCCCCCTGCCTCACTCCGCCTCGGGTCTCCGGGGGATTGCAGGGTCCTGGAGCTGTGGTTGCGGCTCGGGGGTGTCGGGGAGAGGTCCCCCCCATCCCCCTGACCCCTCACCCTCGCAGGGAGCGCCGGAGGCTGCGCGGGGCCGTACAGCACGGAGGAGCCCGATGTCGGGGTGCGGGAGGACGGGGGCCCCGTGCGGCTGCCGGGGGTGGGCAGGGCGCTCGCCGTCCCCTCCCGGGATGCTGGTTCTCCCCGGTGTGCCGCTGGCCAGCCACAGCCCGCCCCAGCTCCCGCAGAGAGCAGGCGCTCCCCCCAGGTAACGCTGCGCCGCGTATCCCCCACCCCTGCTCCCCCCGCCGGCTGTGCCCTCACTCCCCCCGCCCCACAGGAGCTGCCCAGGGCTCGAGCTGCTCTCAGGAGGCAGAAGAGGGACTGGGTGATCCCCCCCATCAAGGTTCCTGAGAATGAGAGGGGCCCCTTCCCCAAAAAGCTGGTTCAGGTATGACACTGGTTGGTCTGGGCAGGGGCTTTGGGCATGGAGGTGGGTGCTGGGGGATGCTGAGCCCATCCCTTGGTCTGCATCTCCTCCCAGATCAAATCCAACCGCGACAGAGACACCAAGATCTTCTACAGCATCACAGGGCAGGGAGCAGATGCCCCCCCCGAGGGTATCTTCACCATTGAGAAGGAGTCGGGCTGGATGAAAGTGACTCAGCCGCTGGACCGCGAGCACATCGACAAATACCACGTAGGTCCCTGCCTGGGCACACCAGGGGGATGTTGGGGTGCTCTGCCAGGCCCCCCACTCACACCCTACCCTGCAGCTCTTCTCCCACGCCGTGTCTGAGAACGGGAAGCCAGTGGAGGAGCCGATGGAGATCATCGTGACGGTGACAGACCAGAATGACAACAAGCCCCAGTTCACGCAGGAGGTGTTCAGGGGCTCTGTGCCAGAGGGAGCTCTGCCAGGTAGGACCCTGTGCCTTGGGGAAGCTCTGCATCCCACCAGCCATGTTCCTGGAGCACAGCCCCGGCACTGTGCCCCCAGCATCCCCCTCACCTGCACTTCCACACCCCCAGGCACCTCCATCATGCAGGTGACAGCCACGGATGCGGACGATGCAGTGGAGACCTACAATGGTGTCATCGCCTACTCCATCCTCAGCCAGGAGCCACGGGAGCCCCATCCCCAAATGTTCACTGTCAACCGGGCCACCGGCACCCTCAGCGTCATTGCCAGCGGCCTCGACCGGGAGGTGGGCTCTGCAGCACCGGGGGGCAGGGGGCCCAGCCCAGGCAGGGGCTGACACGGCGTCTGTCTGTCTGTCTGTCTGTCTGTCCACCACAGCGCGTGCGGGAGTACACACTGACTGTGCAGGCAGCTGACCTGGATGGGGAGGGACTGACCACCACAGCGCTGGCCGTCATTGAGATCGCTGATGTCAATGACAACGCCCCCGAGTTCGACCCCAAAACGGTAACGTGGGCCCCCCTGCTGGGTGTGAGCCCCCGGTGCCCACCGGGCCGTGGTGCTGACGGTGCCCCTGACCCGCAGTACGAGGCGGCCGTGCCAGAGAACGTGGCCGGGCGGGAGGTGGCCAGGCTGGCTGTCACCGACCTGGACGAGCCCGGCACTCCGGCCTGGCGAGCCGTCTACTCCATCCTGCGCGGCAACGACGGGGGAGCCTTCGCCATCAGCACCGACCCTGCCACCAACGAGGGCATCCTGCGCACCGCCCAGGTCTGTGTCACCCCCTGTCACCCCAGTGCCGCCCAGGTGGAGTCCTGCCTGTCCCACTCTCACTGCCCGTGTCTCCCCCTCTCCCAGGGTCTGGACTATGAGGCCAAGCAGCAGTTCGTGCTCCACGTGGCAGTGGCCAACGAGGTCCCCTTTGTCGTGAAGCTGCCCATGGCCACTGCTACGGTGACAGTCACTGTGGAGGATGTCAATGAGGCCCCGGTGTTCGTGCCACCGGTGCAGCTGGCCACGGTGTCAGAGGATGTGCCCCCGGGGCAGACCATCACAGCCTGCACGGCCCAGGACCCTGACAAGGCGCAGGGCCAGAGGATCAAGTGAGCGGGGACGGGGTTGGAGTGGAAGTTTGGGGGGTCTCCGCTGCCCCTCGCCACAGCACCAGCTCCCCTGTGCCCCCAGGTACCTGGTGGGGCACGACCCGGCGGGCTGGCTGGCCGTGCACCCCGAGAATGGCCTGGTGACCGCGCGGGACCAGCTGGACCGCGAGTCCCCCTTTGTCAAGAACAGCACCTACATGGCTGTGCTGCTGGCTGTGGATGATGGTGAGGGACATGAAAGGGCCCTTGTTCCCCCTCCCGCGTGAGGGGCACGTGCTGCCATCACCAGGAAACACACCCAGCTCCAGCATGGAGCAGTGCTGGGGCTGCCCGGCCCCACCCCTGCCCGGGGCACCCCAGCCCCCTGAGGATCCTGGGTTTGGGGCTGCCCCCTCCCGCATCACTCCTCGCTGTTCCCACCCTTGCCCAGACAGTCTTTGTCCCTGGGAAAGTCTTGGTTTTGAGCCCCCCCCCATCCCCATGCCTGTTCAGTCACCCATGTCCCCATGAGGGTCCTGGGTTTGGGGTTCCCCTCCTCCAGAATTTTTCCCCCCAGGATCACCGCCGGCCACGGGCACGGGCACGCTGCTCCTCACCCTGCTGGATGTGAACGACAACGGCCCCGAGGCCGAGCCACGGGACATCACTGTCTGCCAGCGCAGCCCCCAGCCCCAGCTCCTCACCGTCACCGACCGGGACCTGCCCCCCAACACCGGCCCCTTCCGCGCCGAGCTCACCCACGGCTCAGGGGACAGCTGGGCTGTGGAGGTGGGGGACACAGGTATTGCAGGGGGCTGAACGTCATGTGGGAGCTCCTCGGCAGAGGCAGCATTCCTGGTGCATTGTCCGTGAGCCCCCCATCCCATGTAGGTGACACGGTGACGCTGCAGCTGGTGGCACCGCTGGAGCCCGACACCTACAGCGTGTACCTGCGGCTGCTGGACCAGCCAGGCAGAGCCCAAGTGACCATTGTCACCGCACGGGTCTGCGCCTGCGAGGGGCAGGCACAGGGCTGTCCCCAGAGGTCCCAGCCTGTCACCACCCTGCCCTTCGTCCTCGCCACCCTGGGCGCGCTGCTGGCCCTGCTGCGTGAGTGGGGCTCCTGGGGCTGTGGGGACAGCCCAGCTCTGGGCACAGTGGGGCACACGTGTCCCTGCTGATGGCACTCTTCCCCCAGTCATCCTGCTGCTGCTGCTGCTCTTTGTGAGGAGGAGGAAGGTGACGAAGGAGCCGCTGCTGCTGCCCGAAGATGACACAAGGGACAACATCTTCTACTACGGGGAGGAGGGTGGCGGCGAGGAGGACCAGGTGGGTGTGGGGGTCAGGAGCCTGGTGACAGCGTGGGCTCTCTGACTCTGCCCCTCTCCATGTGTGTGTGTGTCCCCAGAACTACGACCTGCGGCAGCTGCACCGGGGGCTGGACGCCCGGCCCGAGGTGATCCGCAATGACGTGGCCCCCACCCTCCTGCCAGCCCCGCAGTACCGGCCCCGCCCCGCCAACCCCGACGACATCGGCACCTTCATCGAGGAGGTGAGTGCTGGAGAGCCCGGGGGGTGACACCTCCCTGCCACAGCAGCGCAGGGGACGCGGGTGCTGACCCCTGTGCTCCCCCAGAACCTGAAGGCGGCCGACACGGACCCCACGGCCCCCCCCTACGACTCGCTGCTGGTGTTCGACTACGAGGGCAGCGGCTCCGAGGCCACCTCGCTCAGCTCCCTCAACTCCTCCGCCTCCGACGGCGACCAGGACTACGACTACCTCAACGACTGGGGCGGCCGCTTCCGCAAGCTGGCCGAGCTCTACGGCGGCGGCGAGGAGGACGATTAGGGACCCCCAGCCCGCTGCTGCCCCTGCCTTATTGCTGCTTTTGTGCCTTGGGGGTTCCCCCTGCTGTGCCCCCCACCCCAGCGCAGCCCCCTCACCTCCTCGCCTGCGTTTTTGTGGTTATTATCTATTTTTTAAGGTATGGAATGATGGCGTGTGATGCTGCGGACAAGGGGATGGGAGCTGGGTCAGTTTTAATAAAGGATTTGGTTTTTTTAGATGTTCCAGGCTCTGTGTCACTTTGTGCCCTGGAGATTGGTGCTGGCCCCAGCCCTGTCCCCCCTTGCCCACTGCAGTGTGGAACCTGTGGCACAGCTGCAGTGTCACCCATGCACGGGCAGTGCCCATGCCCCCCAAAGGGTGCTGATGGGCACGGGCAGGGCACTGACCACAAGTCTGTCCTTCATGGGAGTGACACTGGTGGCATTGGGCATTCATGGTGCTAAATCTCCCCTGGCCCAGGCAGCGAGAGCCCTGCTGCCACCCCAACCCCCTGAGATGACCATGGGTGCTGGCATGGGTGGGCAGAGCAGCCTCTCGCCCTGGCAGGACCCCGAGATCTGGGGGTCTCCCACTGGCTCCAGGATCAGCTCCTGACACATGGGATGGGGACAGCTGATGTTACTGGGGGTCCCCTTCCCTAGGGTCACCCCCAGTGCTGTGCTTTGGGACAGAGGGGTACAGGGACTGCAGCTTCCTGAGGGCCCTTCCTGCCCGAGGGGTCCCTGGGTACAATGTTTGTCCCCTGCTGCAGAGCTGGGATCTGGAGCCATGGCATGGGGGCACTCTGGGGTGTGCCTGGCTCCTGTCACCCCCCTACACCCCCTGCTCGCACTGCCCTGGGTGGGAGAGGCACGGAAAGCTCGAGGGCTGTGTGGCTGGGACTGGGAGCGTCAGAGGCACGGCGAGCCGGGGTACCCGGGACGGGCAGAGCACCGGGGGTGTTGGGGTACCGGGGGCTGGTGGGGTACTGGGACCGTGGGAGAAGTTCCGCACCAGTACCGAGGGGGGTACCGGGATACCGGGCGTCGGAGGTACCGGGAATACCGGCGTTCCGAGTGCGGGCGGGGCGGGACCGCCTCCCGTCGGGGCGGGACGGGGCGGTTCTCGCGGGGTCGACACCTGCGAGGAGGGAGCGGGAGGGGACCGGACGCACCTGCGACTCCGTGGCGGCAGCGCCCGATCCCTCCGGCACCAACCGGCACCGGCACCGGCTGCGGCTCCGGCCATGGGGCGGCGGGCGGGCTGCTCGGTCCCGTTCTGCCTCTTCTTGCTCCTGCTCCAGGTGAGCCATGGAATGGGCGGCAGGACCCCGCCGAGACCCTGCCCGGGGCCGCGGGACCTCGCTCGGGACCGTGCCCGGTGCTAACGTCTCTCTCCGGGCAGTGCGAGCGGCGGCTGTGCCAGCGGGCAGCGTCGTGCCAGCCCGGCTTCGCCGCCGAGACCTTCGCCCTGACGGTGCCGCGGGACAGCGTGGCGGCGGGACGGGCCCTTGGACGGGGTGAGGACACCGGGACAACCGGCTGTGGAGGACAGGGGGCTGTGAGGACGGGGACGGGACTATGGGTACAGGGGGGGTGTCCGGGACGGGGGTGGGCAAAAAAAGCCGTGGCTCCGTGCCCGAGTGGTGCTGGCATGGCCGCGGGCGTGGGGACAGTGCTGTGGCGGTGGGGACAGGCTTGCTGTGGTGGCAGTGGCAGAGGGGGCAGAGCCCGGTGTGTGTCCCCGCAGCGCTGGGGCAGCAGTGGGGGCAGTGCCGGGGCTGGCACGGCGGGCCGGGCGCGGGGGCAGCGGCAGCCGCTCCCCGGGGTGCGCCGGCGCGGGCGGCGCTGACTCAGGCACCGCAGACCTGTCGGGGCCGGCAGGCCGGGGTGTGGGGCACGCAGGCGCCTCCCTGCCCCGTGCCTCACCTGGCACCCTGGGTTCACCAGGGTGAGCCCCCCTTTGGACCCACTGTGTGCGCCCCCAGGGCAGCTCTTGGCATGGGGACGGCCACCAGGATGGGCTCCTGGGCTTTTGGGGACGTTGGTGTCCCACTGTGTTGGCACTAAAGCCCTGTTCTGGTGTGGCAAGGGGGCACTGGGGACCCCTGTGCTGGGGACCTGCTGCCACTCCGGGCTCCCAAAAGGGACTGCGTGGGCTCTGGGGCTGTGTGCAGTGGCTGTCACCATCTGCACCAGTTCATGGCTGAGAGCGGTGCTGGCACTGCAGTGTGTGTGCCAGGGTGGCTGGGTGGGCACAGGACCGAGGGGTACCAAGCACCCAGTGCTGCACCAAGGCTCCCAAACATCCTCAGCTCTAACGGCTTCGCCTGGGAGAGCCAGGAATTGGACCCTGCCCCTACCCCAGGAATTGTGTGTGTTTGCCTTGTGGTTGATCATTAACGTGCAATAACCAACGTCCATCAGGGTTGGGCCTGATACCAGGGTGACGGGCAGCCCTGCTGACTTCCCCACAGCACTGAGACCTGCTGGAAATCCTCTGTCTGGCACCGGCACTTTCAGTTTTGGGTTCCGGGCACAGCCAGGGCGTGGGAGGAAGGAAGGGACCATCTGCCCTTGAGGCCTGTGTGGCACCCAGTGAGTCACAGCTGTGCCACAGCAATGCCAGCCATGGGGTGGCCGAGCCTCGTGGATGCCAGGCCATGCTGGGCCACCGAGCACCCACAGCTTGTGGCAGGGCTGACAAGCTGGCCTGTAATTAGCTCGATGAGTTGAGCGCGATGTTTTCCCTCCGACAGGCCCAGACAGGCCCCGCGCGGCGCCGGGGCGGCAAACAACAGCACCTGTGTGGGGCTGCGGCGTCACCAGGGCTCTGCTCTGTGGGTTGGGGGGCTTGGGGGGCTCGGGGACGTGGTGGGGGCTGGGACAGTGCCCATCAGTCCTGGGTGGAGAAACCTCGAGAGTCTGAAGTCACAGCGAAACTGGGGTGACGTCAGTGGGATGTGTCACCCGCAGCACCTTCACCCCGGGGTGAGCCCCTTGCCCTGGCACAGCTGCGTGTGTAACACACAGGGTGGTGGCACTGCAGGGATGGGGACACCCTGCTCTGCCTGTGCCCAGCCCCATTGAGACCTCACAGGACAGGAGGTGGCTCTGGGGGGCTGCCCTGATCCCCTGTGCGGGGTCTCAGCCCCACACCCTGCTTGGCAGCCTGGTTGTCCCAGTCTGGTTGTCCCAGTGTCCTGCAGGTGGTGGTGGGGGACTGAAGTGGGGGGATCCCCCTGTAGGACTCCCTGAGCTCTCCTTTTCTCCCACCCCCATCATTCCCAGGAGAGGGCCCCCCCTCCACCCCCCCAGCTCCCAGCCCCGGGGAGAGGAGCGCTGGGGCCACCCCTCCTTCAGCCAAGCTGGAAAAACAGGTTGTGCACAGCCAGGTGGGAAGGGGGGGAGTTGGAAAGGGGGAGAGCGGGAAGGGGGGAGCGGGTTCAGAGCACCCTCCTCGAACCCAGTGCGGGCTGAGCGCTGAGCGCCCATTGCAGCCAGTGTGGGGCTGGGGGCTCCGTGCCGCCCCTCGCTACCCCCCCGGGCCCCGGAACAGGGCCGAGCACGGCGGCTGCGCCCGCGGCTGCCTCTCCTTCCCCGCCTGCCCCGGCACGTTCCTGCCCAGCCGGCCCCGCCGGCTCCGCCCGCCCTGGCCGGGGGTCCCGCCGTGGGGCTGAGCGGGGCTGGCACCGCGCCGGCGGCTCCTCCCGGGCCGGGTCGGGGGCACCGTGGTGGGCAGGGGGGCAGCGATTGCTCCCCCTCCATCCCGCAGCCACCCCGGATTCCTGGGCTGCTCGTGGGCTGACGTAACCCACGGGCCCCGTTCCGGTCCGATCCGATCCGTTCGGCACTGCCTGCCGCCCACCGCGGCACGGGTCACGCCGGGGCGATGGAGGCAGCGCTGGCTGCGGAGCCCGGGTGTCGCTGGCTCCAATAACGCTGTCCCAAACAAAGGATGTTTGTTCGGGAGCGCGGCACGGCTCATGTGATGCCCGCTGACCGCTGCCTCGTGGGGGCCCAGCTCCACTGTGCCCAGCTAGTGACACCGGGCCCCCGCCTGTCCCTGGGGCTGGGGCTCCCGGAGGTGCCTGGGCAGGTTGAGGGGCCTGGCTGCCAGGACACTGGGTGCCAGTGCAGGTGGATGACTGCTGCCCTTGTTTTTATTGAAAAAGCTGATGGGGCAGAGTGGGCACAGTGGTGGTGACATGGCATGCTTGGGGACATGCTGTGCCACAGGGATACACCCATATGGGGATGTGCTGTGCCTGGTGCCATGCCATACATGGTGCTGGGGACTGGAACATGCTGTGCCAGGTGCCACTTGCACCATTTTCACTGTCCGGCAGAGATCCTGTGGCACGGTAGGTCCTGCTGTGTCCCATCCTGGACCAAAGCCAGGGCAGGGATGCAGTGTGTGTTGTGCCCAGGATGGAATCTTGGCAGGGCATGTGTCACTGTATGTGGAGCATCCCACCACTGCTGTGACCCCACACAGTGCTGGGGTGGGGCTGTGCTGTGTGTGCCCATGTCCCCAGAACCCTCTGCCACTCGGTCCCCTGTCCCCAGTGAACTTTGTGGACTGTGGCGAGTCGCACCGTGCCGCCTTCCTCCCGGATGACACGCGCTTCAAGGTGAGCAGGGATGGCATTGTCACTGCCACCCGGCCCCTGCAGCTCCAGCAGCGGGACATCACCTTTGCTGTTCACACCTGGGACACCGTGGGCAAGAGGCATTCAGCCAAGGTGACACTGCACCGGCGGCGGCACCAGCACCGACACCATGAGCAGATGCAGCAGGTGACGCTCAGACCCACTCCCTGGGGTCACGGCAGCCTCTGTCCCTGGTGCAGAGCGCTCAGCAAGGGGCTGGCACTGAGCAGAGCCACTGTCCCAACAGAGCACAGTGCCAGACGTGCTGATATTCCCGGAGCACGGACACGGCCTCCGGCGGCAGAAGAGGGACTGGGTCATCCCCCCCATCAACTGCCCTGAGAACGAGCGGGGGCCCTTCCCCAAGCCGCTGGTGCAGGTGGGTGTGCCCGTGGGGACCGGGCAGGGCCCAGAGGGATCCCTGGGGCACTGGGACACGGCTCACCCTCCTCTTCCTGCCTCGCTGCCAGATCAAATCCAACAAGGACAAGGAGACCAAGGTTTTCTACAGCATCACGGGGCAGGGAGCGGACACCATCCCTGTGGGTGTGTTCATCATCGAGAGGGAGACGGGGTGGCTGGAGGTGACCAAACCCCTGGACCGGGAGGAGAAGAACAAATACGTGGTGAGTGAGGGGGCATCTGTGGCGGGACAGGGACGGTCCTGGGCACTGCACACACACTGACTGTGCCCTTGCAGCTCTACTCCCACGCCGTGTCGGCCAACGGGCAGCCCGTGGAAGACCCCATGGAGATCATCATCACCGTCACTGACCAGAACGACAACCGGCCCGTCTTCACCCAGGAAGTCTTTGTTGGCTACATTGAGGAGAACGCAAAGCCAGGTAACGTGGGGGACTCTGAGCTGGGACCACGCAGAGCCCTGAGCGTGAGCAGTGCCAGGGTGTCCGGTGGATTCTGTCCATCAGTAACATCTCCCTGGCTTGTCCCCATGTCCAGGCACATCTGTGATGACCGTGAACGCTACGGACGCAGATGATGCGATCAATATGAACAATGGCATCATCGGCTACTCCATCCTCAGCGAGGAGCCCAAGAGTGCACAGCGGATGTTCACCATCAACGCCAAGAACGGCATCATCAGTGTCATTGGCACGGGACTGGACCGGGAGGTGGGCCCCTTGCCACAGCCCAAGGGAACCTGGGCTGCCCCACAGTGGGATGTGCCATGGGGAGAAAGGGATACTGCAGCCCTGGGGTCCATCTGGTTCTGGGACATGCCATCCCTGGGTCACTGTCCCTGGCTGTAGGGGTGTCTACAGGAGCTATGCTGGGGACCCTCCAGGAGCCCCCAGCCTTGCTGAGCCCTGGAGTGGGTACAGTGCCAGCCCCTTGGGTGGGCAGCCGGGACATCAGCTGCCTGTGTGCCAGCAGGAAACAGCAAGGCTGGAGAAGGGTGGAGGAGCAGGCAGGTGATGCCTGGAGGAGCGGAACACCCCAATCCCCACCCCAGCCCTAACTGGGATAATTTTGCTCTGCAGACCACTCCCAACTACACGCTGATCATCCAGGCTGCAGACCAGGAAGGCTATGGCCTGACCAACACTGCCACTGCCATCATCAAAGTCACTGATGCCAACGACAACCCTCCCGTCTTCGACCCTGCCACGGTACCACGCAGCCCCAGCTGCTGCCCTCCCCGGGCATCGTGGCACCAGCTCCCACCTGGGGTGCCTGGGGCCACACAGGTGACTGTCCCTGTCCCATCTTGCAGTATGAGTCGTCAGTGGACGAGAACGAGGTGGGGGTGGTGGTGGCCCGGCTGCACGTGACAGACCAGGACCTGCCAGGCTCCCCGGCCTGGAACGCCGTCTACCGCATCCGCAGCGGGGACCCGCAGGGCGACTTCGAGATCACCACTGACCCCAAAACCAACGATGGGCTCCTGAAAACTGCCAAGGTGGGTCCTGCTGCCTCATGGCTGCCTCAGCACCAGCTGACTCCCTGCTGGCACTACCCCTCTTCTCTCCCACCCCCAGGGCCTGGATTATGAGACCCAGAACCGGTACAAGCTCGTGGTGTCAGTGGAGAACCAGGTCCCCTTCACCGTGGGCCTGAATCCTGCCACAGCCAATGTCCTGGTGGTGGTCAGGGACGTAAATGAAGCCCCGATCTTCATGCCCCCAGTCAAGCGGGTGGAGGTGATGGAGGATGTGCCAGTGGGATACCAGATCACCTCCTACACAGCCCAGGACCCCGACAAGGACCAGAGACAGAAAATCACGTGAGTGGAGGGTGATGGTGGCGGGGGCTTTGCTGGGATGTCTGAGGGGCTGCACTGCACCGTGTGCCCCTTCCTCTCCCCCTGCTGACCCCTGGCTGTCCCCAGGTATCGCATGGGCAGTGACCCTGCAGGGTGGTTGGAAATTGACCCTGAGAACGGCATCATCACGGCAGCCCAGCCCCTGGACCGGGAGTCGGCACATGCCATCAACAGCACCTACAAGGCCATCATCCTGGCTGTGGACAACGGTGAGGGTGCCCAGCTGCTGCCCCCGTGCCCATCTCCGTGTCCCCCCATGGAGGCGCCTCGCTGACTCTTAGTCCCACAGGGTCACCAAACTATGCCACCGGCACGGGGACACTGCTCCTCGTGCTTCAGGATGTGAATGACAACGGGCCCGTGCCAGACGCCCGGAGCTTCGACATCTGCAACCGGCAGCCCGAGGAGCAGACGCTGAAGATCATCGACAAGGACCTGCCCCCCAACACCCACCCCTTCAAGGCAGAGCTGATGTATGGCTCTGGCAGCAACTGGACTGTCAGTGTGGTGCAACCAGGTGGGTGCCACCTGCTCTGGTGCTGGGCCCGCAATGAGCACTAGGCTGGGGATCTGCCACGGGGCAAAGTCCTGTGCCAGTGCCAAGGGTGTTCCCAGAGCAGAACTGGGAAAGGGGCTGGAGCACCAGGAGTGGTTGAGGGAGCTGGGGAGGCTCAGGAGGAACCTTCTGGCTCTCCACAACTTAGTGGCAGGAGGGTGCAGCCAGGTGAGGGTCAGGATCTGCTCCTAAGATATAGGAAACAACCTCGAGATGTGCCAGGAGAGATTTAGGTTGGATATTGGGGAAAATTCATCAATGGAAAAGGTGCTCAGGCATTGGAAGAGGCTGCCCAGGGCAGTGGTGGCGTCCCCATCCCTAGAGGGATTTAAGAGCTGTGTAAATATGGCACTTGTAGAAATGAGTCAGTGGTGGCCTTGGCAGTGCTGGGGGATGGCTGGACTCAATAATCTTGGGGACCTTTTCCAACCGAAATGCTTCTATGGTTCACCAAGACGAGGTGAAGCTGAACATGAAGAAGGAGCTGGAGCCGGGCGAGTACAACATCTTCCTGAAGCTGCTGGATGCACAGGGCAAGGATCAGATCACAGCAGTGCGAGCCCAGGTGTGCAGCTGCGAGGGGCCAGCCAAGAACTGTGAGCGCAGAGCCTACATCTCCGGTGGCATGGGCGTGCCCGCCATCCTGGGCATCCTGGGGGGCATCCTGGCACTGCTCAGTGAGTACCCGGGACAGGGATGGGAGGGACAGAGTGCGGGTCACCCCCTGCCTGCTGCCCTGACACCCCCTCCCTGTGCCTGCAGTCCTCCTGCTGCTGCTGCTGCTCTTTGTGAGGAGGAGGAAGGTGGAGAAGGAACCACTGCTCCCACCTGAGGATGACATGAGGGACAATGTGTACCACTATGACGAGGAGGGCGGTGGCGAGGAGGACCAGGTGGGATGGTGGACCCTGCCCACCAAGGGGTGGTGGCGGTGCCCATGGCTGTCCCTCGATCCCTGACTCCTCCTGTCCCCCCAGGATTATGACCTGAGCCAGCTGCACCGGGGGCTGGACGCCCGGCCCGAGGTGATCCGCAATGACGTGGCCCCCCCGCTGATGGCGGCCCCGCAGTACCGGCCCCGCCCCGCCAACCCCGACGAGATCGGCAACTTCATCGATGAGGTGAGTGCTGGAGAGCCCGGGGGGTGACACGTCCCTGCCACAGCAGCGCAGGGGACGCGGGTGCTGACCCCTGTGCTCCCCCAGAACCTGAAGGCGGCCGACACGGACCCCACGGCCCCCCCCTACGACTCGCTGCTGGTGTTCGACTACGAGGGCAGCGGCTCCGAGGCCACCTCGCTCAGCTCCCTCAACTCCTCCGCCTCCGACGGCGACCAGGACTACGACTACCTCAACGACTGGGGCGGCCGCTTCCGCAAGCTGGCCGAGCTCTACGGCGGCGGCGAGGAGGACGATTAGGGACCCCCAGCCCGCTGCTGCCACCTCATTTCACCCCTCTGGACTCACGTTGGTCTCTCTTCAGGGTGGCCAAATCCCTCCTAAACCCTGTGCCCATGTCTTCCTCACTGAGAAAGTGAGTGAGCATCCCCAGCTCAGACTCAGTGGGGATGGGATGTTTTGGGGTAGTCTGGGTGTTTCCTGGCCCCCTTGGCTCCAGGGCATAGACCAGTTCAGTCCATTCCCTGTCCTGAGGAACTGAGGTGTTCCCAGCTGTGGGGGGGGGGGCAGGATTGGGTCCTTCTTCCCTTTTCCATGAGGGGAAAAAGGGTTTCACTGGCGCTCTCCAAAATACCTCATGCTGCCAGCCCCACACAGGCTCAGATCATAAACCTAGTGATGGAGAAGTGCAATGAGGCACTTGATCAACACAGACCAAAGAATGCGCCATCACTGACAATTGTATTTAATACTACTTTGTACAGGCAGATTTCTATTTTTCTGTACACCAGATTATGGATTGATTCCCTCCTCTGTCATGCCAGGTGTAATTAGCGTGCAGTCATTGAAAGGTGCTTTCCAAAATCAAAGGGCTTTCCCAAAATCCTGACCTTTGTGTTTAGCTGTTGTCACGGTTTGTATTTTTTATCATGGGAAAAGGGTCTAAGTCAAGCTGGGAAACCAGCAGTGGCCAAGTGTTGATTGCATGGTTTTTATATAGAATTGAAATAATAAATTGTTTTAAGAAAACCAAACCACTTTTCTCTGTGTGAGGCTCTGCTGGTGCTTGAAGGCTTTACCTGCTGCACAGGTGTGGCCATGGCCCCCTCCACAGGGAGAGCAGAATCACGGAAGGGTTGGAGTTTGAAGAGACCTTATGGATCATTGAACTCCATCCGTCATGGGCAGGGACACCTTCGGCTATCCTAGGCTGCTCCAGCCCAGCCTTGGGCACTGCCAGGGATCCAGGGGCAGCCACAGCTTCTCCGGGCAGAATCACGGAAGGGTTAGAGTTTGAAGAGACCGTATGGGTCATCCAACTCCACCCATCATGGACAAGGACACCTTCCCCTGTCCCAGGCTGCTCCAAGCCTCAGTGTCCAGCCCGGCCTTGGGCACCGCCAGGGATCCAGGGGCAGCCACAGCTGCTCCGGGCACCCTGTGCCAGGGCCTCACCACTCTGAAGTGAAAAGGATTCCTCCCCAGTAGCGCACCCACCCTGTGCGGTGGCAGTGGCAGCCATTTCCCCGGTCCCGTCCCTCACCCTTGTCCCGGTCCCGCCCCCCAAAGGCCGCTCTCCGGTCCCGTCCTCCTCCCGTCCCGACCTCCCCAAGATGGCGGCAGCCGGGCGGCCCCGCCCCTCGCGCCCTCCCCAAGATGGCGGGCGGCGGCGGCCCCGCCCCTTCCCTGCCCTGCGCACCATGGCGGCACTGACCGACAGCGCTCCCGACATGGCGGGCGGCGCGCAGCCGGGCCCGGAGCCGGCCTGTGTGCTGGAGGCGCTGGAGCTGCTGCTGGGGCCGCCCGGTGATGGCGACAGTGCTGCCGAGCCCGGCAAGGAGCCCGCCCTGTGCCCGGAGACGCTGCGCAGGAACGCGGCGGCGCTGGAGGAGCGGCTGTCCCGGGCAGCGGGCTGGGCCGCGCTGCGCCAGCTCCGGGCGGCCGTGCTGTGCCGGGCGCCCGCGCTGGCGGCCGGGGCGGCGAGCGCGGAGCCGGGCTGGGCGGCGGCCTGCGGGCTGCTGGCGCTGCTGCTGTGCCTCAAGGAGCGCCTGGCCGCGCTGGCCGCCACCCCCGCCGCCCCCGCCGCTCCCGGGGCGCCGCCGCCGCCCGGCGCCGACACGCTGAGCGTGGGGCAGGAGCGGGCGGTGCGGCGGGCGCTGCGGGCCGCCGTGGGACTGGGGCTGCTGCCGCACCTGCCGCCGGGGCTCGGGCCGGGGCCGGCGCTGGGGCCGCCGCCCGGCAGCCGCGGGGCCCGGCTGTTCGCCGCCGTGGCCGCGTTGGTGGAGCTGGCCCGGCTGCCGGCGCTGGGCGCCCCTCTGCTCGCCCGGCATCTCCGGCTGCTCCTGTGCGGGCTCTGCGCGCTGGGACACGGCCCCGCCGCCCTCTGCCAGGTCCGTGCCACACTCGCAGCCCGTGTCCCGCTCCCCAGGGCAGGCGTGCGTGTCCCAGCCCGCTCCTCCGGCGGTTCCTCCTGTGTCCCGCCCCATGTCAGAGAAAGAACGGGAGGCACGGAGCCCGCCGAGGGGCTGCGGGGCACCGGCACACCGCCCGGCCCGAGCTGTTCTCAAAGCCCCTGTGTTTTGTTCCAGGGTGTTTCGGACGCGGAGCGAGCGCAGTGCCGGGAAGCCCTGGGGGACATCCTGGACCGTGTTTATCAGCCGCTGGCCGTGCAGGAGCTGCTCGTCCTGCAGGGACAGCCCAAGCAGGTACCCGGGGCCATCCCCGACACCGGGCTGTCAGCGTCCCTACCCCCCGTGGTTCCCACACGCCGAGGATGCTGCTCTTCTGGGAATGTTCTTACACCTTCAAAGCCAGTCCCCGAGTGCCGGCGAGGCTGCTGGGTGTGTGGCTTTCCAGCCCTGCTGTGCAGGAGCGGAGTGTGGGCGTGTCAGGGACTGTCATCGCCGCACGTGCCACCTTGGCTTGGCACCCACATCCACCGTGCCCGGCCAAGCACAGCTCCTGCTCCTCCAAACCTCACCCTTCCCACTCAGGGGATGACACAGGGCACCTGCTGCTCTCTGGGGCTGTTCCAAAGCATCCCGGGGAGGAGGAGATGGGGAATCTCTTAAGTGTTGTTTTAGGAAAGTCCCCAGGGGAAAATGCTCTTAATAGAATCATAGAATCCCAGAATGGCTTGGCCTGGAAGGGAACGCAAAGTTCATGTCATTCTACTCTCTATCATGGGCGGGGACACTTTCCACCATCCCAGGTTGCTCCAAGCCCCGTCCAGCCTGGCCTTGGACACTTCCAGAGGTGGAATAGCATGCTAAGCACCTGAGGGCTGACCTCTCATTAATTCCTGATTTGCTTTGTGCTGCTGGATGAAGCAGCAATTCAAAGCCTGTGTGCTGTGCTCTCTGTCAGAGCATGGCTGTTGCCCAGGGGTGGGCTGGGCACAGGTGTGTGCAGGCAGGCTCCTCACCTGCTCCTTTGCTGCCTTGCAGAGGTGCCCGGGGGCAGCTCCGGGCTGGCTGCGGCGGCTCTGCGGGCACCTGCTCTCCGAGAGGCTGCTGAGGCCCAGCGGGGTGCAGGCCGTGGTTCGGGGTGTCTTGGAGGCTACAGACGGTGAGTGGGGGGCTCTGGGCCCCAGCATCACAGATTCAGAGGTGTCTTGAGACAGTTCACCCCAGAAGAGCAGAGCCACAAGAGCTGGGTGTAGGGGCTGGCTCGTGCCAGGCTGAGGTGACGTGGTGTCACACAGACTTTGCCTCTGCACTGAGCTCCCAAACTGCTCTAATTTGGGATACACATATGTTAGAGGGCCACACTGAAAGGCTCCAAGCCTGTTTGTGCCTCGATGGGGTCACACAGTGTGTGTGTCCAGAGTGGGATCAGTCGTGGGGAGTGCCCTGTCCCAGTGTGGTGGGAGCCGTGCTGGGCGCTGGGCTGTGGGAGCTGTAGGGACAGTGAGACCCATCCCATCCCCTGCTCTCCATGTCCTGCCAGGGAAGGAAGCTGTTGCTCTCCACAAGCTGAATCCCACGGTTTTTAGTGCCAAAATCTTGTCTGGCCAACTCCAACTATCCAAGCACAACCTCTCTCCACCTTTTGGCTCACCCACCTGGCTGTAGGAATTGCTTTCCACTATCAGGGCTCTTGCACAGCAATTTTCCCCTTTCCATCCTTAAGTTCAGCTGTCTCCTGAAAGAGCAATAAAAGCTCAAAATCAAAATCCAATTTTTGGCTAGGAGCACCTGGCTTCAGCCAGAGCTGGCCATGGGTTGAGCTGACCCAGGATTTCTGCTGCTGTTGTAGGTGGTGCTGGTGCTGAAGCAGCAGCTCTGGACTGGAGGAAATGTGATGCAGTTGGGAAGATCCTGGCAGCCTGCCCCCAGCAGTGCCTGTCCCTTGAGGACTACTACAGACAGGTGTGCCCCCAGGTAAGTCCCTCATCCCCTCTGCTGGCGAATGTGGAGCCAGCTCTCAGCTTGGAGGGTGCTGGGGCTCTTCCTTTTGCTTCAGTGTGGCCCGGCTCAAGCCAGCACAATGTGAACATGTTTTCCTGGCAGTAGGACGTTTCCACTCTTGAATTTTCTGTGTTTTATTGAAATGCTGGATGATGTTGTCTGATCACATGAGGGACTTGTCACTGTGCTACACAGAGCTCTGTGTGTAGCTCTTGCTTTTAGCCTTTGGCTCTGGGAGTGGTGCAGGCTCCTGGTTTGACCCAGAGAGGTGTCCTGCATGTGTGGGACGGACACTGGCTCTTCCACACACAGAATGTCATGCCAGCTGCCAGCACAGCAGCACATGGGTGGCTCCTTGGCTGCTGCAAGGCGCCAGGCTGTCCCCTCTGAGGGGTTGCTGATCCTTGTTTCTTTTTCCTTGGCAGATTCTGGACTTGTTGCACGTCCAGGACAAAGTGGCAGCGCGGCAGTTCCAGCGTGTGGCCTCCACCACGGTGCTGAGCATGGCCAGGGAGCAGCCCCAGCTGGCAGAGAGGCACCTGCTGCAGCCCCTGCTGGCCCCGCTGCGCCGCTGCTCCGAGGCTGCAGGTACCCACCTGCACTGGGGAGGGCCCTGGTTCTGCTCCTCACTGGGTTTTGTCATTCCATTGGAGTTTTCTCAGGCCAGGCTGGGGAGTGTGGCAGCCCAGCTCTCTGTGCTGACCCTGTCAGTTTGTCTGGGTACCCCATATTTACCCCTGTTTGAGTGCAGTCGCTGCAGTGTGGGAGCTGAGCAGTTTGGCTCTGCCTGTGCTCCTTGGGAGCCTCTCCCAGTCTGACATTCTTGTTCTGGGCTTGCAGACAGGAGCTGCTGGTTCCCCACACAGGCCAGCAGCTCTCTGGGGAATCGTC